TTTTTTTACGAAATATGTTATTTATTAAAATAAATGAATAAAAAAATAAATTCATGTTTCAATAAAAAGAGCTTCAAGTATGATTTTGTTTTGGTTGCAACACTTTAAGATTCATGAGATTTTAGTTGTTTTTAATTACTCTTACATTTATTGTGAGCATTATTTTCAGTGATTTTTGAAAACTCTTAATTTTTTTTTATGTGTTCAAGAAAGGACACTCGCATGTTCTGATGAAGTATAATAATATTTTTTTTTTACATTTTGTCAGTGTACAATGATCAAACATGATAATATTACATATGCACCATATGTATATGCACCAAAAGTTTAATAAAAAATAAGTGGTAACTTAACATTGTGTCCCACACTATTCTAAAATCAGTTTCATTTATGAACATTTAAGTTCCATTTTAAAAATGTTGCTACTTTGCTTTAGATCATTTCAAGAACTCGAAAAATTAACATTTCAATATTCAGTGTTTTTAAATGCTGCTACTTTGCTTCAAATCCTTCTAAGAACGCTTAAAAGCAACATTCTAATATTCTGTTTTATTTAAACGTTGCTACTCTGTTTCAAGTCATTCTGAAAACACTCAAAATTAGCATCTAATCTTCTATTTTTTTTTATTTGTTGCAACATGGTTGCAAATCATTTGAAAAATTCTTAAAAGTCTGATATTCTGTTCTTTAAATGTTGCAAGTTTGTTTTAAATAATTCCAAGAACAATTAGAAAAGCATTCAAATATTCTGTTCTTTAATTGCTTGTTTTGTTTGTACATTTAAAAGTAACATTTCAATAATAAGCAATTTTTTAAACGTTGCTACTTTGTTTTAAATCATTCCAAGAACACTTAAAAGTAGCATTTCAATATTCTGTTTATTTTAAATGTTGCTACTTTGTTCCAAATCCATTCTGTGAACACTTAAAAGTGAAATTCCAATATTCTATTTATTTTTAATTTGATACTTTGTTTCATAATATTCAGAGAACACTTAAAAGTAGCATTTCATTATTCTGTTCTTTTTTAAACGTTGCTACTTTGTTTCAAAACATTTCAAGAATTCTAAAAAGTAACATTCCAAATATTGTTTCCTTTTAAACTTCGCTACTTCGTTTCAAATCATTGCAAGAACACTTAAAAAGTAACATTTCAATATCTGTTCTTTAAATGTTGCTACTTGTTTCAAAATATTCCAAGAACACTTAAAAGTAACATTCCAAATATTCTGTTTTTTTAATGTTGCTACTTTGTTTCAAATCAATCGAAAAATTCTTAAAATTAAAGTTTTTTTGTTTAATATTTTGTACTTTTATTGTCGCTACTTTGTTTCCAATCATTGTAAGAGCACTTAAAAGTGACATTCTAATGTTCCACTTTGTTTAAATGTTGCTATTTTGTTTCAAAATATTCCAAGAACACTTAAAAGTAACATTCCAAATATTCTGTTTTATCTAAATGCTGCTACTTTGTTTCAAATCATTGTGTGAACATTTAAAAGTAGCGTACCAAATATTCAGTTATTTTTATTATGTTGCTACTTTGTTTCAAATCATTCCAAGAACACTCTACTTTGTTGAAATGTTGCTACTTTGTTTGAAATCATTCCGACATTCTAATATTCTAGTGGAACAAAAGGGAATGGGAACATTCTGTATCAAACAGTATTTATTAAAACAGTTACACTTACAAAAACAAAAAGTTCATGGTTGTTAATGAAAAACGGAAATTACATGCGACAGATCCCAGCAGGAAGTGCTGTCTGGAATTTGAATGGGACTTCCTGGGCAACATTAGTGTGTGTGGTTTTACAGTTTCCAGCATGGTGTCATCGGTGTGTGCGTGTTGATCATGAGTGCCCGATGAGTGAGAGTGCAGTGTCGGGCTCTACACACACCTCCAGACGTGCGAGCCGGCTCTGCTCTAGAGCGATGGCCTCCGCAGAGTGTTTGCATTTCTCCGAGCCGCACTGACAGGTGAAGTACTTGCTCTTGATGTCCCAGAAACGATCACCGTAATCAAACCTGCCATAAAACACACATAATAGCAGGAACAGGCCATAAATTCATAGAGATCCGTCATAAAGTGATAAAGCACATGCAGGAATCAAACACACAAAATTAAGATCAGTTTTGACATATTTCTGTTCTCTGATTATAATAATGTGACTAATAAGCTTGCACAATTTTCATATTGCATAAAAGCCTTTAGTAAATAAATAAATAATGTATAAATGTATATAAAAATGATAAGAAAATATATAAAAAAATTTAATATTTAAAAATTAATGATAAATAGGTGAATAAAAAATAAATAAATAAATAAATACATAATAAATAAAAAATATAAGAAAATAAATACATAATAGATAAATAGGTAAATATAGTAAGAAAATAAATATATAATAAATAAAGAAAATATATAAGAAAATAAATACATAATAAAACAAATTTATAAATAAGAAAATAAATACATAAATAAATAAAAAATAATAAATAAATAAAATATATAAGAAAATAATTATATAATAAATAAATAAGTAAATATGATATATAAGAAAATAAATATATTATAAATAAGTAAATTAAATATCTAAGAAAATAAATAAATAATAAATAAGTAAATAAAATATATAAGAAAATAAATACATAAGTAAATTAAATATATAAGAAAATAAATAAATAAATAAGTAAATAAAATATATAAGAAAATACATAAATTAAAAATATAAGAAAATAAATAAATAAATTAAATATATAAGATAATAAATGCATAATAAATAAATAAGTAAATAAAATATATAAGAAAATAAATATGAAAATAAATATATAAGAAAATAAATAAATAAAATATAAAATATATAAGAAAAATAATAATAAATTAAATATATAAGAAAATAAATAATAAATAAGTAAATAAAATATATGTATAAACAGTAAAGATTTTACAAATATTTTAGAGTATTACAAATGTTATTATATTGCTTGTCTTTAAGAATAAAATCATGCAGATTTTCAGGAATGTTGTACCACACGAAAAGACCAATCATACAACATCATCTAAACACCTGGAGGATGAATCTGCATCCCTGCATTTTTTACAGAGTGGATCACAAGTGCCCACAGTTCACCGTTTGCGATCATGTCTCTGTTTCGTTCTGTTGATATGTGCTATAAATATTCATAGCTTGAGACAGATGGAAATGAGTGGATTGTGCAGCCGCCATTACGGCTCATTGCTTTTTTTTTGCCCACCAGGATTTTTGGCACTAATAACGATCAATAGCGAGTATAAACTGTGGTGAAATCAGCATCTCACCCGAGCTCCTGTCCGGTGAAGATGTCTCTGGAGCTGAAGAAAGCGATGCGAGGGAAGCGCAGGTCCTGATGCAGCATAAACACACGCACAGGGATGATGTTCGGGTCACACAGATGGTTTATGAAGCGGCTGATGTTTCCGTAATAGCGGGCATCGATACAGTACACCTCACCGTCCTGATCCAATAGAAATATTCATAATAAATGGATGAAATAAATTAATAGAAAACTAATTAACATAAATTAAAACATCTGCGGTAGAGCTAAAGTAAAAACAGAAATAATAAATGAATAAAAAAGGTCACAAAAATTAAACATGACAATTAAAAAGTAGCGTTACAGATGGGAAATTAATAATAAAAAACTATTTGCAATAATTAATTATTTGTTAATGATTTTTCTCAAAATCAGTAAACATAAAACAGCAATTTAAAAAATGGAAAGTTAAAGAGAGAAGAGCACTAAACATTTAATTAACATAAAATAATTATCAAAATATTTAATACTAATAAAACCTTTAATAGTACAGAATAATTACTACCAGCCCCAACATATTTTAGTTTCAGTGATATTCAGTAATAAAAAAACATATATAAGAATAAATAATGTATTTATTTTTTACATTTATATCAGTTACTTTGTTTTTATGCAATTTTTTAGCATTGTACATTCATTTATTTTTCATATGTGCCATACCTTGAACCCCATATTATAATAAAATCCTGGCATGACATAAGCAAACATGACAGTGGTTGTAATTTGTATCAGGGAATTTAATTTATTTTGATGAAAACACACACACCTTGTTGTCCAGGTCAAAGAGATATGAATCGTCCTCTCTCACGTCTGCTTCAGCATCAGATATCAGCTCACCAACATACCTGACACACACACACACACACACACACGAGAATTACAGAATTAATTAATTATTTACACAGAATTAAAAACAAATTACGTTTGGTTGTTGTGTTGTGTCCTGAGAATCAGCTTGAATCAAAATAACCAGCCAGTAAATGATTCAAATAAATGATTCATTTGAATCAATCAGTTAAAAACAGTGATTCATTTGCATCATCATCATTCAAAACTTGCCATAAAAGCCTGCGATGAGTTGGTATGAACAATTAATACTGCAAAGATATTTATTAATGTAGCAAAATAATCTATTGTCTATGTCAAATAAACGCTGCTTGTTTGATTCTGGTTTTAAAGACTGCTGGATTGTTGAGCTCTAAGCAGTTTTCTAATTAGTAACAGAGGAAATCACTTTTGATTTTAGTTTCTAAACCTTTTCTAAAATCGTCTTACTAATTAATGAACAATGATTTTGACTGATTCACTCACAAAAAATAATCAGTTTGGAGAATCCGTTTAAACTGATTCTTTAGAACTTTTAAAAAGAATCAGTTCTGAAAATCAGTTTAAAATTATTCTTTAAATTTTTTTGAAAAGAATCAGTTTCAAATGGTTCTTTAGAATTAAAAAAAAGAATCAGTCTTGAGAAACAGTTTGAAATGATTCTTTTGAAATTTTGAAAGCAATCCGTTTTGAGAATCAGTTTAAAATGATTCTTTTGTACTTTTAAAAAAGAATCTGTTTTGAGAATCAGTTTAAAATGATTCTTTTGACTTTTAAAAAAGAATCAGTTTTGAGAATCAGTTTAAAATGATTCTTTTGAACTTTTACAAAAGAATCAGTTTTGAGAATCAGCCTAAAATGATTCTTTTGAACTTTCTGTTACCAGGCTGACAAAATCCTCTGAACAGTTTCTAGATGAGAAATCAACAAGACCGGCTGCTAATAAGAAGATCTAATGTTTCGAAAGACGGCAGCATGTGATCAGAGAATAGAGAGAGAACACACTCGCAGATGAAGCTTCCTTGAGGAATATCTTGAAGAGCTCGAACACCCCAACCCATCTTCTCTGTGCGGTACAGCTGGAGACGCACCCTGAACACACACACACACACACACACATATTAGAAACACATATAAACACGAAAAAACACATTACAAACAAAGACCAACACAAAACACGTTACACACACACACACTCTCTCTCTCACACACACACACACACACACACACACGTAAGAGAACAACAACAGACACACACACACATTAGAAACACACATAAACACATTACAAACGGACAGAAATACACACACAAAAAACAAATAACAACACAAACAACAGACCTAAACACACACACATAAATGCAGACATGCACACACACACACACACACACACACGACAGGCAACTGACTTGATTCCAGCCTGCACCACGCGGTTCTTGCACGTCTTGTGGCAGGAGCAGGCCATGTTACACTCGAAGATCAGCGGCGGCTCGATCTTATTAAACTCCTGCAGGAGACGATGATCCTGCGGGAACACACACACACACACACTTTATACAGCCCTCAGTGATGTATTATAGAGTTATAATAGAGATGAACAGAGCTGTGTTGTTGTACCTTGTCGTACCAGCAGCGGATGCTGAGCTGCCCACATAGACAATTACTGGACGAACAGTCATCTGTACAGCTGCAGTGCTGAAACACACACACACACACACACACACACACACACACACACACACACACACACACACACACACACACACACACACTATGATAATACAGTAAAAAAGCAGTAATTTCCATGAACTTGCCATGAAAAAACAGGACATGTTGTCACCTACTGGAGTGTGTGTGTGTACTGAGCAGTACCTGCAGGTGTGTGATGTTGCGGTCGATGTTCATGGCGGATGTTTCACAGTTTTCTGCGATGTATTTGTAGTCAGACGGACAGCCTTCATCATCCACGCCATTAACACATGGGATTGGGACGTTCTCGTAACCCTGAGCCACGTCACTACACACACACACACACGAACACCCACACGCCCACACGAACCACACATGCACGCACAAACAAAAAACACACACACTTAAGTAATAATTCAAACTCAATCACAAAACTCCCCTGGATAATAATAATAAAAATAATAATAAAAACTATAAAAAATAATATAATATTAATAATAATAAAAATAATACAAACATAATAATAATAATAATACAAAATATGTATATAATAATATTAAAATAATAAAAATAAAATAATAATAATAATAATAAACACATAATAATAATAATAATAATACAAAATATGTATATAATAATATTAAAATAATAAAAATAAAATAATAAGAAAATAATAAAAATAATATAATAATAATAATATTAAAATTAGAATATAATAACAATAAAACAATAATAATAAACTAATTAACAATATAATAATAATAAATTAATAAAAAAAACCAATATAACAATGGTATTAATAATAATAAAAGTAATAATATAATAATAATAAAAACAATAATAATAAATTAATAATAATAATAATAAATTAATATTAATTTAATAATAATAAAATAATAACAATAACAACAATACAAAATATATATTAATAATATAATAATAATAATAATAAACAATAATAATATGATAAATAAATATATAATAATAATAATAAAATAACAATAATAAAAATAATAATAATATAATAATAATAATAATAATAATAATAATAATAATAATAAATAATATTAATAACAGGGGGCTAATAATATTGAGCCTAATATGGTTTTAAAACTAAATAAAACAAATAAAACTTTCTCCAGAAGAAAAAAATTATATCAGAAAAACTGTGAAAAATGTCTTGCTCTGGTAAACATCATTTGAGAAATATCTGAAAAAGAAGAAATATTCACAGTAGGGTGAATAATGTAGATTTGCTCATGATGAGACACACACTGACCTGCAGATGATCCTCTCGGTGCGCACGATGCGGTTTGCGATTCCTCTTCGTAGTTTTCTGTTGATCTGCAGCGCCACCCAGACGGGCGTCTCCCCGCGGGCCAGAGACAGCGGCGTGTCGCCCTCTTTATTCACGATATCGATGTCTGCACCGCGAGACAGAAACAACCTGGAAAAATTAAAGACAAATTATAACTCTTAATCCCAACAGGGAAAACCAGCAACAATAAAGAATGCAGGATTATATGCGGTCACGGCTTTGCAATCTAAATATGTGATTATAATGGAAGTCAATGGGGCAAAAACAGCACCGACATCCCCAAAGAGGAGTCAACCTGAACAGTACACAAGGGTTAATCATTAAGCTCAATAATTCAGTTGCCAAGCATTTTATGCATTAGAGTCATCTAATATATTGGCAAGCCACCCAACGGTTCAGCCAAATACAGCAAAATCTAACAATGATGCTTGTCATTAGGGTCAGGGTGCAAAAAAGGGGGGTTTGGGGGGGATGGACCACCCCTAATAACACTTGAAGGATGCCAAAACAAGCCGCGTGGGGTTTCAGCCCTTTAATACTGAGAAATAATTTGCTCTGATCTGTATTTTAAACAAAACATTTACTAATTAAAATAAAAAGGCCAGCACAGTGGCTCAGTGGTGTTTCTGTGTGGAGTTTGCATGTTCTCCCTGTGTTGGCGTGGGTTTCCTCCAAGTGCTCTGGTTTCCCCCACAGTCCAAACACATGCGCTATAGGAGAACTGATCAACTACACTGACTGTAGTGTGTGTTTGATTGAGTGTGTATGGGTGTTTCCCCAGTACTAGGTTACGGCTAGGGTTAGGGTAATGTTTAAAACCTATGTTGGAATCGTTAGCGGTTAATTCGCACACTGATTAGTGCTAAATGTTGGTGTGTGTGTGTGTGTGACCCACGTGACGCAGTCGCTGTATCCCTCGCGAGCGGAGATGTGCAGCGGTGTGTCTCCGTGAACGTTGACGGAGGAAAGAGGACAGCCGGCGTTCAGGACCAGCTCTGCTATCTCAGCACTGCCTGCGAATGAAGCCCAGTGCAGACACACGTTCATCTCCTGCACACACACACACACAGATGCAAACACACACACATCAGCAAACATGTGATTAGACATGTGATGTTTGTGCGTTGTGTGGCACTCAGTTGTGATGGTTAGGATTTGTGTGTGTGTGTGTGTGTGTGTGTGTGTGAGAGACTGACCTTATCTCGGAGTGTGACGTCTGCTCCTCTGTTCAGCAGGGCTCTGATCACCTCTATATGTCTGTGTTCTGCAGCCCAGATGACGGGCGTCCAGCCGCCGCTGTCCTGAAACACACACACACACACACACACA